ACATTTCCATGAACACAAGTCTAACTTTACACATCCTATAAAGTAGCACCTAGCTGGGGTCACATATCCTACTGCAGTCATTGAATAGATATATTTTTTTTCCTGAAACTTTTTTTTTGTAACTTAATTTACATGCTTTCCCTAAGCATCATCACAGCATACAAAATGTGATTTCCCATCCAGTATATACTGCATAGTGACTTAGTCATTCATGTTATAAAAATATTTTCTCTTTCTAGTTCCTAGAATTATTTTTACCCTTCTTTCTGACTCTCTGTCCTTTCCCACCCTCTCCTCACACTATTTCTGGAGTCTACAATTGTCTTCTATTCCTTTCCCACCCACATTGTATTGATCACACAATTTCTTACATAATCTAACTACCTTCAATGGTGAGTTCACTCGTTACTATTAAGAAAACCAGTTTTAACTTAAATCAATGCAATACCAAGGAACTTTGCTTAAAGCCAGAAAACAGGTTAGGATTCTGTTCAAATGGTAGATGCATGAACCTATCAGTCTCATGTACTTTTATCTTGTGTTCTGGTTCAATTTTCCTGATTGAATTTTGAGATATAATATTCAACCCCAGACTTGTCCCTATGATTAAGTTGGCCACTTTCTTAGTTTTTGAACTCTTATTTCCATGTGTCCGTATTTAATTTTCCTGATATAGCATGCCCTTGAGAACTTCTTGGAGATCTGGTCTGGTGCTGGTAAATTCTATCAGGTTTTATTTATCTGAGAATGTTCTTGTCTTTTCTTCTCGCATGAAAGATAATCTTGCCGGTTACAGTATTCTCGGCTGGAATTGCTTTTCTCTTCACACTTTGAATATATTTTCTCATTCTTTCCTCGCTCGCATTGTTTCCCATGAGAGATCTGCTGTTAGCCTGATGGGATGTTCTTTCGTAAAATGTAATTTTGAGAAAGCTGGTCTGAATTTGAGGATCTAGATTATTATTATTTTTATTTTTCCCCCCTTTCTATAGGGCATGTGTGCTCATTGGAGAGACAGAGAGACAGAAAACTAGAAATAACCTCCTGGGCGGGATGGCCATGCCACAATTCCTTCTCCATTCTCCTCTTGGGATTTTTGGGCATGCACACACATGTGCCCAGTGTGTTTTAAGCCACTGGGTCTGGGATTTGAACTGTGATTGACTACATGGGAGTCCAGAGACATAACTATTACACCACCTGCTAGTTTCAAGGGTCTTGATTATTTTGTGAGGGCATGCATTCGACTACTTTCAGAGGACAGAAAGAAAGTTTTTAGCTAGCAGAGTGAAGAAGCAAGCCAGATCAACTTTAATTAAGAAAGTGTTAATTTGCAATCAGTACATTGTTTACATGCTAATTGACTTTCTACAGTGCCTCAAGGATTTGGTCTCTGCAGTAGATGGACGTATCCCTGAAATGCTGCCTCTCCCCTTTGTTCAGGAAAGCAGTGAGAGTGGTATTGAAGGAAAGAAAGTGAGTGAAAAAGGCCTGAAGCACTCTTCCTCAAGCCATCCAAACTCTCCGAGCCTGCACATCCTTTGGAAAGTGGAAGGACACCTGTATTTCTACTTGTCTGAGGAGCAGGCTAGGAGGGGTCTGGGGGCAGTGCCAGAGCAGTGCCTGCAGACACCAGCTTGGTGCATGCCTCCGCATACTATTAGTCCCTGTTCTTCATGGAGAACCTGGGCGTGAAGGGCAGCTGATGTATAGACAAATTCTGAGTGGGCAGGGCTTACTTCTCATCCTGTTTACAATCCTTGTTATTACAAAGATGGGGTTTCCTGACATTGGAGGTGTAAACTCATCACAGTTACCTGTACAGAAAAGAGAGCCTGGGCCCAGCGGTGGTGCAATACTGCTAAGATGCTGAGCTGCCCAAAGCCCACATGGGAGACCGGCGCTCAACTCTGACTTGACCTAAAGGCCAGTGCAGTGGTGCAGTGGTGCTGCCTGTAATCTCAGCAATTCAGGGAGGCTGAGGCAGGGAAATCATGAGTTCAAGGCTGCTAGGCAACATAGAGAGGCCCTGTCTAAAAAGGAGCTGGGTATGGTGGAGCACATCTGTATTCCTGGGAGTCTGAGGGAGGAAGGTCACAAAAGGAGACCATCTTTAAGAAAAAAGAATATGTATATATGTGTGTGTGTGTGTAATATATATAATATATATACACATGCATGAGTGTGTATATATGTGTCTATAATATATATACACATATGTATGTGTAATATATATATATATATGTATGTATTATATACCAAAGTTCCTCCTATTTTTCCTTCTCTTTTTCACAGCACTCAGCTACAACATGATTTTCATAGGAAAATTCCAGGACTGCAGATGTCAGGATGCTGGCGTCTGTCAGTTACTGAGAGCCTAACGCTTGTTGTTTTGTTCCTGACTGACAATACATCCCCCTTGGCAGGTTTGCCTTTCCCCTCTCCACATTCAGGTTCCAGAATGTGGACTCTCCTTTATGGGGTCAGAGGCCTTCCTGACATTGCGAAAGACATGCTTTCTCAAGATAGGCTGGAGGAAAAAAACCTCCATATTTAATGATGCTATTCCAGCGAAGCAGGGCCTTAATGATGATAATAATAATAATTAATGGCACAGCTAGAGAACTGACAAATAATGGGGAACAGATGATCCTTTCCTGGCCTCAAAAAAAAAAAAAAAATCTGTATGCCTGCAGAAAATTAAACAGATCCTTTCCTAGCAATTTAAAACTGAGATGCCTCAGCCAGAGTCAGTCGGTGATTTCTGTGTTTCTCTGTGGAGAGCTGAAAGTATAAAATTCCAACGACTTCCATCTCCTGCATTACCACATGAAGCAAAGGAAGGCATATGGCATTAGCCCTAGGTCTTAAGTTTAGTTGCAGTCTTCACTTTCAAACTGGTACTATCAGTAATTTTAAGGTCTTTTATTTGGTATAGGTTTCTCAATTGTGCTAATAAAGTATAACTTTCTTGCCCTGCTTTTGCTTCTATCATCCTTTAAAATGGCTTTGGGTTTCACAAAAGGGAAATGTCAGACTGCTCACGCCTTGGGTCAGGTCACTCCCTTAGTGAGTTCTTACATCGCTAAGAGGAGTAAACTCATGCTGTGGTGACAAGTAGTCTATACCTGTTACCCTGTGAAGAGAATATGAAAAGCTTCCAAATTAGTAATGAAACCCAGACGAATTAACCCAGGAAGAATTTGAATAAAGTCCATGGTCAGGCAGCTAAAAGAATGAAAAAAAGCTACTGAGGCGTAATAGTTTTACTTAAAAATGGTTCCTTCGTATCTATCTGTGGGAGCACAATGAAAGAGAATGAGGAAATGAGTTGCTGTTTTGGTTTCTGTCGTGGGGAGAAGTGGAACATCAGGTCTGTACCTCACTTTGAAGGATCATCACAGCGTGGTTAAAGTGGTGATGCTCTAAGGTAGCAGAGGTTCCATAGAGTTGGGCCAGGGCCGAGCCGCTCCTGGAAGACGACAGAAAGGTGAGTGAGCTGGGGGCCTTTTGTCTGCCAACCATTGCCCCTCATCAGTTCTTTGGATCAAATTGCTTTTCTTGCCTTTGGAGAAGGACCATAAGCAGATACATTCTCAGGTAACTACCTCTATAACTTTCCATGTGTTAGGCTAGATGCCGTAAGACACTGTCCTTGCCCCTAAGAAATGTACAGACTAGTAAGAGAGATGAAATATGATTATAAAGAAAAATAATGCACATAACAACAATACAAATATTGATACACTGTAGAAAAGTTCCAGACCCAATCAAAGTTCTGTGGATGACCAGAGGAAAGTGAGACATGATTTCTGGCTCTGGGGATCAGTACAGCCTTCATGAACTAAACCTTCTATGTCTTTTGAATGTCCAGAATGTCTTACACCAAATGTATCTGAGTCTCCAGAGGAAAAGACCTTGTGAATCATTAGCAGCCTTTACATGTAAGGTTGACAAGCTTCTAATATGGTTTCAGAGTTCACACGGCACTAAGATATCTCCGTGTAGAACTCTAGAAAGTTCACTGGAATTGAAGTCAGATCTGAGCTCTTCTTCTAATTAGTAGTTGTGTTCAGTTACTTGGCCTCCTTTGGACTCAGTTTCTTTGTTTCTAATATTACGATATTGTTATCTTGCTTGTTAATTATGAGACTACAGTACAGTGTTTAAAGTGCTCAACTGCGATAGGCACAGTAGATCACAGTTTGTATTATTAATCAATAATTAAAGCATACAAATAGTCTCATTTTATATCAAGAATATGCCAGTTGATACTTGAAGGGAATACTTTATGTTATCTGTAAATTTTGTTTATGTAAAAAAATTCATTTCTCAACAATGTCAGTTTGGCCAAGTGATTTATTTATTTATTTTTTTTTGAGAGGGTTTTTGCTATAGGGCGTGCGTGCTCACCAGAAAGACAGAGAGAGACAGACAGAAAGTGAGAAATCACCCCCGGGAGGATGGCCACGCCACAATCCCTTCTCTTCCATTCTCCTCTCAGGATCTTAGGCACGCACGCACGTGCACCAGGCAGGAGTTTAAGCCACCCGGTCTGGGACTTGAACTGCGGTTGACTACATGGGAGTCCAGCAACATAGCCATTATGCTCACTTCTGGTCCCATCAAGTGCTTATTTTTAAAAATGTCCAAATATCAAAGCCAGCAGGTGGTGTGGTGACTGAGGTGATGGATTCCCACATGGCTGCCCATGGCTCAAGTCCTGGACCTGGCAGCCTGAAAATCATGCTGTGCATCTGTGTGTATGTGCCCAAATCCTAAGAAGAAAATGTGGCATGGCCTTCCCTCTGGGAGGTGATTTCTTACTTTCCCTCTCTTGTCTCTCTCTCTGGCAAGGGCATGTGCCCTATGGGGGAAAAATTTAAATATATGTATTTCTAGCTCTTCTTTTGTGGGGAAGAGTTAGAGCATCTTAAGAGTTAAGAGTTAAACCAGAAGATCCCACATTTTAAAGGACAGTCATGGGACTTGGGCTGAGGACCTACCCAGGTCCTGAATGTTCTTTCTTGCTGATTGGGGACTTGGGCATTGAAAGGGCAATTTGGAGCTAATTTGGAAACACTGGAGATGGACAGCTCATAGTCTGTCCTGCTAGTGGGAGGACTAAAGATGGCATCTCAGTGTAACAGGAAGGATTTCAGTCACGAGCTGCCTCCCATTATTAGGGGGAGGCAGCCCAAAACTACAGTCAGTTTTGGGTGCAGAGGACCTGCCATTCTTGGAAAGATTTGAAGCTAAGCACATGTTGGGAGAAATAGCAAGACTAGGTTAGGCAGCGATTGTTAAGAAGAAGTTTAGTAATGAGGGTACTGGATTTTAAACAGTGTGTGTTATTTCTTTAAATATTAAACAAGATCAGGGCTGGCAGGTTGTATGGTAGTTAAGGGTGCTGGACTCCCACATGGCCAACCGTGGTTCATATCCCAGACTGGCAGCTTGCTTTCTCACTTTCTCTTTTTCTGTTGCTCTCTCTTCCTCTCTGGTCAAATTAAAATAAATAAATAAAGTTAAATAAAAATAATTCTTTCTAAGAAATCTTAATCTATATCATTTAATACCTAAAAACTTGTTAGGATAATCTTGGTAAACAGTACTGAATTAACATTTAATGTCATTACTATTTGTCTTATATAAAGTTCATTTCTATGAAACAATATGCCTTTTGTCTTGGCTATCTAAAGTCTTGGATGCCTTGTGTATATATTGGGTTGTTGGAAGAGTCATGACACATTTTTACATAGAAAAACCGGAAAAAATGTCATGACTTTTCCAATGGCTCCATGTTATATCCAAATGCCTGGCATGGAGTAGATGCTTTGAAAATATTGATTGCTTGACTAATAAGCTCACAGTGAGAGGTCTAGAAATTATTATTCAAATCAGAAGGCTGACAATAATGTCTTAATATATTTTATTTAATTGATTTATTTATTTAGAGAGATTTTTGCTAAATGGCACACGTGCTCACCTGAGACACAGAGACAGAGAAACAGAAAGCTAGAAATAACCCCTCAGGGGGAATGGCCATGTTGTAATCCTTCCTACTCCATTCTCCTCTCAGGATTTTGCGCATGCAAGCGCACGCGCCCGGGGTGAGTTTTAAGCCACCAGGTTTGGGACTCAGACTGCAGCTGACTACTTGGGAGTCCAGCAATGTGACTATTACACCATCTGCTGGTCCCAATATATCTATATATCTATATCTATATCATCTATATCTATATATTAGAGGTTTTTGCTATAGGGCTCGTGCACTCTCCAGAAAGACAAAGGGAGACAGGGAGACAGAAAGCGAGAAATCACCCCCCAGGGGGGATGGCCATGCTGCAATCCCTTCTTTTCCATTCTCCTCTTGGGATCTTGGGCACACACGCACACATGCCTGGTGTGAGTTTAAGCCACCGGGTCTGGGACTCAAACCGTGGTCGACTACATGGGAGTCCAGCGACATAGCCATTATGCTAACTGCTGGTCCCTCCAATATAATAATATCTGTAATAAAAACTACCATCACCATGCACCAGACACCTATTATCAACTTAAGACATTATGTTATCTAGTCCTGATAACAACCACAAAACAGGTATTATTTTCTCATTTTATGCTTATATTAATAGAAACCAAGACTCAACGGAGTTATGTAACTTTTCCAAGGTCATACAGCTGCCTAGTGCCAGTTCTAGATTTGAATTCACTTTAAAGCTGCTTCTTACCTAATAAAAATGATTGTACTAAAAATGCTCACCTTTTGGTAAGCAAAAATCCCGCCTTAGCATTCAGAGAAGGAAGTGTGGTACTACCTCTAGTTTCCTAGAGTAAAATCATCTCAGTCATAATTCTGCATGGAACCCTTACTTGTATTCTTAGATTTGGTCTCTGTCAGGTTCTCTAAGACTGCCAAATCTCTTAGTGGCTTCTCTCTTGGGCTGAGGCCCACTGAGAATGCCACCTATACCAGCTTTACGTACTGTGAGCCTCCTAGGATCATCAAGAGCCTAGTGTATGGTCATAAAACTTAACGTAAGTGGCAAAAAATAAAATGTATGTTAGAATAAGTCTCTCAAAAAATATTCTACGTAATACCAGTTATTTGAAATGTTAAATAGCATGAGGGCAGAAATAAAGAAGGTTGCATGATCAAACAAGTTTGGAGAAATATAGGCTTTAAAAGTTAAACGGGGGCCGAGGCCAGCAGGTTAAGGCTGCTAGACTCCCATCTGGCCAACTGAGGTTCGAGTCCCTTGCTTTCTCACTTTCCTTCTCTCTCTCACTCTGTCCCTCTCTGGTCAAATTAAAAATAAAGTTAAATAAAATAATTCTTTTTTTAAAAAAGCTGAATGGGAGCCAGCAAGTGGGGAGTAGTTAAGGTACTGGACTCCCACATGGCCTACTGCAGTTTGAGTCCTGAACCTGGCGGCTTGCTTTCTCACTTTCTCTCTCTGTGGTGAGTGTATGAGCCCTATAGAAAACTAAGTAATAATAGATAAAATTAAGTAAATAATTTTTTTCAAAAATGTTAAACTTTTTCTTCATTGTAGGATTTCTCTATGGGGTCAATATGTAAAAATATACAATGTGATTCTATAGCAGAAGAATAGACTACACAACATTATTCATTCTCAATTGATCATAAAACTATTTTGTAAAAAGAGGGCATGTCGGGATCAGCAGATGGTATAGTGGTTATGTCGCTGGACTCCCACGTAGTTGATCACAGTAAGAGGCCTGGACCCGGTGGCTTGAAACTCATGCAGGGCGCCCATGTGTATGTGTGCCCAAAATCCCAAGAGGAGAATGGAGGAGAAGGGATTGCAGCATGGCCATCCCCGCCCCCCCGGGATGATTTCTTGTTTTCTGTCTCTCTGATAAGTACACACACCCTATAGCAAAAATCTCTTTTAAAAAAAGAAGAAAGAGGACGTGTCTGTCATGTAAAAGATATGCTTCCACTTTTCCATCTAAAACATGAAAAAAAAGGGTTTTATTCATAGTAGAGAATGCGCACATGCTTGAGAGAGACACACACACACACACAGAAATATCTTTGACAGAGTCTTATCATGTCATGGTCCCTTCTCGCTTACCCGCCAGCTTGTCAGGATCTTGGACATGCACCTGATGGCGGTCCGGGGATCTGAACTGTGGTTGCTACATTGCAGGTCAGTTTGCTACCAACTGGGCCACCAGGCTGGGCCAAACATTGCACCTCATTTTAATTTTCTGTGGTCAGTATACCCATTATATAAGTAGCTTTGGGGTACACACACTGTAGTTATGAAAAATATGATCATATATATGTAGGGTGTATGGGAAGGAGAGAGAGAAAGCAGAAGAGAATCCAAATTCCACAAGCATTTATATATGTGAGTATTCATGATGTGCATTATTGATTAGGTCATCCAGACATACTGAAAGTTTTCATTTTTGGACATGCAGTACACTAAGGAGAAA